CTTGATTTACTTGGATAAGAAGATAAGCCACACTGCCAGAGAGCCAAGCCAGTTCCTTGTCTCAAAGGCCCTCCAATGTGGGTACATGGATCTGCCAGGGCTCAGCTCCTTCAATGTCCTTCCTCTCTACACAGAGAAGGTGGAAGGCATTCTAAAAGGAACAAATTGCCCTTCTTCTCCTTATAATGTCTTCCACCAGAAGCACGCGAGGGAGCTATCAGCACAGGTGATCATTAAAATCATCAGTGTGACCCGTTTGTACCAGCGGGGCATCAGGCCCTTGGGTTTAGCTCGTTTTGATTAGCCACTACTGACCGAGAGGCTGGTTAGCAGAGTAAGGACCCCAGGCTGAGCCTGCCAGCACCTATGGCAATTGTCTCTGTAACTATTTTCCTTTGTAAAAAAGCTTCTCAGAACTCTTCTCGCACTGGTGGAAAAATCATATCTCGGCCGGGAAACAAACAGAAAAGGATCCGAGTCTCATCCTCTGTGCTGCATTTTAATGTCATCCCAAAGGAAGCGGCACTCCTTTGGCCACTTGCAGCAAAGAAAAGAAAACTTGCCGAGTTTATTGGCTACTTTTATTGGTTTGTCTGTGCCACATTTCGCAGGCAGCTGTGCCAAGAAAACACCGTGGCTTTCCAAAGATGAGGCCTCAGAGAAGCAGAGGTAAGCCCAGGAGAAGAGTGAAAAGCTGGAAAGAGGAACCTTGTAAATTTGGTACCAGTAAGAATGGAGGGATGCCAAAGCTGACCGAAATCTGCCATGAAACGAATCAGATCGCAGCCTTCCCTTCCCTGCGCAGAAGTCACGACGCCCACAGCTGGGAGAGCGGCCAGTGTTATTTTTGGGCAAGATTTATGCAAGTTTGAAGCAGAGTTTCAGTGAAAAGGAAACGAGGGGGAGAGATGGAGGTTTCTTTTTAACAGAGATGTTGGAAACACGTGGGAGTCATGAGCAAAGAGTTAGAGCACCTACTCTGGGGTTGAATACCTCTGGGCTGGGAAGATTGGGAACAGACCCCTGCAGACCAAACACGGTGGTCCCCCAGTAGCTCCTGAGCCACAGTGACACAGCTGAGGAACAGCTAAACTGGGCTCCCCACCAGACCCATGCCCAGGACCTCCCCCTTGCCCCAGGTCCCACTGCATGTGCTGGGTGCAGGATCATAAGGCCACGGTCCTAAAGTGCAAAACCAATTTAGCTGAGCCAAGGAAGCAGGATTGCTTTGGCCGCCACCTAAAAGGCCAATCTCCACGGCCCCGCTGTGGGATGGGGGAGAGCAAAGGGCACAGGGAAGCACAGAACCTTTAACTCCATTTCATTTGGGAGGGAGGTGTTGACATTTTAAATGCCATGAATGATAGATAATTGGCAGTGTCTTGGATTCATGAAGTCACTGAAAAGCAAAAAAAAAAAAAAAATCCCTTTTTTGATGCCTGGGGTAATAATCCAGTATTGGGTTATAAGTGACTCAAGCAAGGACCGTGCGATGGCAGGGCACACGCGGATCTGGGAAGCGTGCCCGCAGGCCAGCACGCTCGGCAGGGTGTTTTGCAAGGATCAGCTGGACACCATCCTACCCTCGTGCTGCTGGTGAAGTCATCGTGGCTTTGTGCTCCCCTCCTCGTACCACTCCCGAGGGGACAGGGTAGAGTAGCTGTAGCTCAGCACGTCAGGCAAAAAAAATCGTCTTCTTGCCTTCCGCCTCTCGCAGGCACTTGGAGGACAGGTTTGCTCTGCCCAGGTTGAGCTCTTCACCTCCTGCCCTGTGCCAAATACACACAGAGTTGAGCACTGAGTCGAGAGCAGCTGGAAGAGTTTTCTCATGGATGAACATGTGCAAGTAGGTCCTTCTGGCTGCCGATGACCCCCAGGTAGGAACACCAGCGGTACCGCAGCTCTGGTGTGCACTGCGAAGGTGGGATGTCTTACGATAAGAAGGAAGCACTTTCTTTTTACTCCCTGGTTGTTCCCAGTTTTTGCATCTGTTGGGCACTGTGCCTCTTAAAAAGAGTGAACCAGCTGCTGCTCCCTGGAAATCTGGAGTCTGTGTGGGTATGGCCACCTCTGTATCCATGTGGCTCCATACATCAAAACAGCCTCATGCAGGGGCTCAGTCACTCTGAAACCATCCCATGCTTATGGAAAGGGACCCAAAGCTGACAATTTCAGAGGCTTTGTCCACCAATTCTATCACCTGGACCCTCAGGACAGCAGCCTAGCATGATGTCAGTTCACCAGCATCAATGCGCTGGGGCTGGTGTGGACCCTGCCATTGCAGCGCTGGGCCCAAAGGACCTGTGTACCCCCCACACCCCCTCCATCATCAGCTTGGGTCCTATGCCTGCCCGCACAATGCCATGGCCAGAGGACCCCAAGGAAATGCCATCCCTGTGCAGGGAGGTGTTGGGAGCCACAGGAGTCTGGTGGTCCCTTCTGGGAGCAGGACATGCAGGGTCACAGTAAAAGTCCCAAGAAATTAAAACCCTGGGGATTATGGAGGAATCTGTATGATGTTTTGCCACTATACCTTAACTTTTTCTTTCTCTGGCCAATTCTAATCTTGGGCATGCTCAGATAAGCCTCAAGACATTACAGTGAAAGAAACAGGTAGCTCAAAGGACACGTGTGGCCTTATCTTCTCCATGCATTCATTTGAATAAATCTGTTCCAAAGGTACTTTACATAAACCCATTGAAGGACAAACCCCAGCTCACCTCTAGGGAGTTCGTGTTATCAGCAAAGTCTTCAGGAGACTTTTAACTGGCTCACAAGGGCACCGGCCTTGCCCTTAGGAAAAGGCACTGAAAGTCAAAACACCAGGATGCTGTTCCACTCGTACTCTCCCAAACCACCCCTCCTCCTGTGCTCGGCTTTCCTATTCATAAAATTCAAGTAATTAATACTGAGTAACTGTGGTGGGATTTTACAAGTCTGTTATTTACTGAGATGGGGAGGTTTAACCTGGAGAACATCACATGAAAGCGGTTGTGAGTGCAAAGCTTTAAGAACATTTTTATCAAGTTGAAACTAAATGGTTTGCGGCAATAAGGAAGTGATCTTCAGGAAAAACCACCAAATAGAAGTTTTTCCTAGATTATTAGCCAGAGCAGATATATTGTTGTTTTAGTATCAAGATGTGTATGAACAAAGACCAAAACTCAACCACATATCCATATATCACTAAGAATAAATATCTTTGCTAGGGAACTCATTATGGAATTTTGGAAAGAAAACCCTTTTGAGGAAAACCATCCCAAAAATGTACTTCTAACTTTTTTTTTTCTCTTTATCCAAAATAAGGTTCCGATTTTTACTAACGACAATAATGTTAAAAAAGATCTGGATTAACTCGAAAGCTGTTTCACTTTCACTCCATTTCTTTTGCCCCTCCACAGGGAAATCCTCCATGCACGGTTTCCACATGTTAATGAACAACAGTCCTTTCTCTGTACCTTTTAGGGCCTGATTCACCATGATCATCCATAAATATTACTTTTAAAACTTTCCTGAGGAACTCCCAGGGGGCCGTGAGAGCAGCCGATGTCAGGAAATGTCAGATATTTCTCCCTCTCCTCCTTGAGACTCTGGTAGCGTAGTTGGAAAAGAACAGATGCGTTAAATGCTCAGAGATTTACAGCACCCCCCACACACGGGGACCATAAAACGACAATTTGTTCAATTTCAAAAGCAGACCTCTGCCCGTTGCAAGACCTTTCATCACTGTTTATAAAGCTGGGCTTAAAAAGCCTGGGATCTTTTATGATAAAATGGACACAAAGTTCATTTTTCAACTGTTGAAATGCCTAAAAAATGGAGTTGTGTGCAGCTGGAGGGGGGAGGGAGGCAACCCCTCGCCGGCCAGATCCTGCCCTGGGCTTGCTCCTCTCTTGGGTATCTATCCCATAGTGGGTAGGTTTAAGGTAACGGGGCCAGGAGGGGCTGTAAACCCTGGTTTAGCAGATCAGATGCCATACAAGGTCTGCTCCCAGATTCTCTACGTGAACCTCAGGTGACCACTGATGGACCTCGTACCTGTTCCCGACCTCCAGCGGTCACTGGGATGGTAACACTCCACTCATGACCAAGAAACGGTTTGGTGTCACAACATGACATCCCGTCCATCAAAACCGGGCCTTGATGAAGGTGTTTGCACAAACACCTGAAGACCAAAATTACCGTCTTGCCTCTTTTTCTTGACCTAGTTCCCTCATCATCGAGATTAGCCTCCAGGTAGGCAGGATGCAACACCTCCGTCAAGAGCCCGACACATCACCAGCCACAGAGCAAGAAATTTTGGCATTTGACCCAGATGGTTTTGTCACCTCCACAGAGCCCACAAGTGTTTAGTTTTGGCCTCAGACCCAAGGCAGCCCCAAAGTGAAGCACTGGATCACCCCACCTCCCTACCACAGACCTGTGATCTCTGCAGTGTTGATTTGGCTCCAAATGCTGGGTTGGGTCCTCCTCTGGCATCCCAGCCCTGGAAACCAAGTGAGGAGTGAAGCAACGTTACCCATGTAATGGATGAATAAGAGCAGAGTTCTTCATTTACTGCTTAAGTAGTCTGAAGTGATTGTAATGCAGCCAGATTTATTTCTTATATACAGTGGTGGACTTATTAAACTTCCAAAGGAGCTCTTTAAGCTGTCATTTGGGGTTTAATTGCTGAATATAACTACCTGCTTCTAAAAGGCTGCCATGAAACAGCCCTCCTTCCATGCACTGTCTTCTGCTCAGAAAGAGAAGATCCCCCCCCAAGCACAAAGGGTTAAAGCTTTGGCCTGCCTAGTCCAGTCCACCCCCTCCTCCCCCAGTTTGAAAATAGTAGAAAGGAAAGGATTAGAGGGGAGAGATTTATGGACTAGCCCATCACGGAGCTTCAGTTCGCACTTTGATGATGGGGGAACAGCCCCGCTCTAACAAAGGGGCTGTAAAGCATGCCCACCAGTAAACTATCTACTGGGGGGAGCCAAATCCCTCCTCGGATTATTAAGGGCTCTGCAAGTCCTTGGAAAGAAAGGCTGCACCTTTTTTATTGCCGTGTTATTAATAAAGAGCTGGTGAAATACTTACTGCTGCTCCGTAAATCTTCCAAGGGCAGGAGTAGGTTGCAGACGTTTGGGCTGGAAGGAAACGGAGGGACCGTGGGGCTTGACCTACATCCCCCATCCCAGCCGCGGCGAGTGTCTCTGAAGCAGGGACGCGGCAGGAGAGGAGGTCCATGTCCTGAAGTCCCCCGAGATGTCCTCCGGCTGCTCCGCCCCCAAGGTGCTGCAGCAGAAGCAGGGAGAGGTCCCCAGCCCCGAGTCACAGCTGGGTTGGTGGGATGGTCCCACGCTGCTCTTCCCACCAGCCCGGGGGTCTCTGAATCTGTCCCAAGGGCTGGGGAGCAACAGGGGCTGTGGGGACGGATCCTGGAGATGCAAAGCCACCTTGCCAAGGTCCCACAAGAAACCAGCACTGTAATTCTTTGCTGTAACTTCCATTTAACTCCATGCAACTCTTAACACCTTCGGGTGTAGTAATTCCTTAATCTCACAATAGCTCACCAACAAGGAAGGACCAAATGACTTTTTAAAACATTTTTTTGCTCTTCCACATTTATTTTTTTTTTTAGCAGGGGAGGAATTAATGAAAAACCAGAAGTACCACATTTAAAGTGAAAGAAGGCAAAAAAAAAGTCTGATGGCAACAAGCAGCTGGTGTTGAATACGGGCTCAACTCAAAGTATCATCCATCAGATCTGGATTTACAGGGGAGGCTGAGAGGAGGGAATAGCTCGTGCTTTTGCATGGTTACCTAGCTCACAACCTGAGAAGGGCCGGACACCCAGGACCTGTGTCCCATGCAATGAAACGCATTTTCTCTCCCATACATACATCCTATTCTGAGACAGCCATGAAACCCCTGCTAGCTCAAAGGCAACCACAGTAGCGCTGGGAGAACATCACCCATCCCCTTGCTCTCTGCAGGGCTCAGCTTCCCCCACACCAGCACCTGTTTGGAACAAGCATCCTCAAAAAACCCGCCTGGAGTGATGAGACCTGGGGGAGTTGGCTGTGCTTTAGAAAAGAAAAAATAAACAAACCCTCATGACTACCAAAAAAGTCCAACCCACAACAACAACAAAAAGTTTCCTTCCTAATTTCAGCTTCTGGTCATAAAATTTTACTTTCATGTAACAGCATGAAATCTGCACAACTGGAGCGGGGGTTTTTAATAAAAGGCAGAGTTGATGTAATATCTGAGCCAAGGTGTTTTTATAAGCCAGAAGAAGAGAGACAGAAACACAAGGAAAATAATTTTCTTTAATTCCTTCCAGAAAGGAATTTTATTTAGATTTCCTTTAACCATGCTGAAATTCTTCTTCCTCTTGCTGCATGGGTTTTCCTCCTTAAAAGCTGTCCCCCTTAACCTGTGCATTAATGCCAGCAAATCCAAGCCACTTGTTTGATTTTGCAAAAGATGAACAGAGCAATTTTTAGCATGCATTGGACTCCACCTTGCCCCAAAGCCCAAACCACCATGGACCCTAGCCTTGGAGGAAGGTGCCAAGTGTCTTGCACCCAGGATAATGCTCCTTTTCCAACACCTGTGAGGATGGAGGGAGAGCGCTTCCCCATGTCCCAGACTATGAGGTCTGAGAAGAGAATAATGTCTGCTAAAGGGCCAGAAACAGCTCTCAGCTCAGTGAAAAATGACTTCCAAATGCCCCCTGCTCTGGGGATTTTATAAGGGAAGATGGATCTTTCTATCTGTTTTCCTTTCTTCTTCATTTTTCAACTCTTGACCTACACTGTGAGCAGAAACCTCCCGGGTGTGAGCCTTCAGCAGAGGAAATGCTTCCTCCAGTTCATTTGTCTTCGGTGGTCTGCGCAGCTGAAGAGACGCATGTGGCTGAGGAGATGCTGTTCCCAACCCTGCCCATCCTGCCTCCTCTGCCCTGGGTGCTGGAGGGTTGGATTTGCAGGGACGGTACCGGCCATCCCTCACCTGGCCCTTTGCAACAAGAAAAACAAGAGTCAGAGCAGTGTTGTCCCCACTTTTGGGCAGTCAAGCAGCCCAGGACAAAGAGAGGCGGACCTGTTTAAAAAAATAAGACGTTTTGGTATTTACCTGGGCATGAAGGATGGGACTGTAGAGCTGGGAAGGGTATTGCTGGGCACAACCTCCCAGACACCGTGGGTCCCAGGAGAGCTGCTCTGGTTAACTCACGCAGCCACACCAGTTCAAAGCATCCCTTCTCACAGGTCAGAGCATGACATGAGTCACAGATTTCAGACACAGATTTCAAATGCCTTAAAACCTGTGATTCCCAACTCAAAGGTTCAAGGGCAACATATTGCCACAAGATGTTCTTGCTTCCGACATCACTCATGGCCATTGGAAACCACCATGGAAAGGATGGCGTGGTTTGCAGCACTCTGCCTGGGAGATAATCCAGACTGGATGATGGGAGCCAGTGCCTAAAGGTTTCTGGATGAACAACTTTCTGCTTAGCGCATTATTTATAATTAAGGTGGAAATAACGAAAATGGGAGGATCTATGTAATGCAGACCTATGGGAGTTTATTTGTTGCATCTTAGCCCCATACACACATTGCCCTGGATGTGGTCCACCTCCAGGCACAGAGGAAAGCTGGAGAGGAAGGAAGGGGAAGAAGGAGTGAAAAGGAGGGTGCCCAGGCTCCACCAGCTCAGCCCTTCCTCTCTCTTAGTTTGAATATGGTGTCCTTATTTTCTTACTGTTTTTCAGAGTGTCTCAAGCATGACCGTGACGGGGACCTCTCCCCGGTGTCCAGCAGAGCCGTTCTGTGCAGGCAGCCCAGGCGTTTCGCATGGCAAAGGGGAAGCAACTGATCTCCAGGAAAGCCATTTATCAGCAGCTGGTGACCTGTGGAGCTGAAACCCTGGCTGCACTTGTTCCTGAGCCATGCTGCGGAGCTGAGGGCATGAGCAGGGGGAAGCACGGATGTCAGCAGCGCGGCCACCGACAGCAAGATGGACGATACCTCAGGACAGGGCTCGTGCACCTCTGGCTCTTTGGTGCACATACAGTGTGACTGCCAAGCTGGATGTGGAAGGGAAGAGGCTGGAGGCAGCAGTTCCCATCCTCACCCCAAATCACCTTCATGGGAATACGGAGGTGAGGCTGGACTACATCCTTCAAATCTGGCACTTGGGCTGGCAGCTCTCTGTCCCTCCTCAACTGGAAGATAAGCAGAAATGTCCTTGCAAGGTTTTCTCCTTTATCACAGTTGCCAAGAGGTTGCATGAGATGGGGGTTTAGCTAAGCCCACAAAATGGGATTCCCACAGCCAGGAAGAGGGGCAGAACCTGAGGACCCTGTTAGATTTCAGTGCCACGGTGTCTGTCTTGGATTTTGCTGTCCATTTAAGAAGTAGAAGATCTTAGTCCCAAGTTTACAAGCTGGGCCTGTCTCCTTAGAAAAAGAAAATTCCACCAAAGAATTTTTATAGGACAATTTGTTGCTCTCTGTGAAGGCTTGAGAAAGCCAAACTGCAGGGCCTGCAGAGCTGCAGCTCTGGTGTGGAAATGGATATGGCAGTGTCCCGCCTGCTCTCTCCCTCTTTCAGCAAGAAGTTTCCCTTTGGTTTACAGCAGCCCATGCTCCAGGGGAAAAAACAACAACTGCTGCTGTTATTCTTTATGAAGGCAGTGAGAGGGCTGAATAAAAGAGGCTGCATCCAAAGCACAATATGAGATGAAAAAGACATCCAAGCTCCATGGCGCTAGATAAAACAAAGCACACACAAAAAGAATCAAATGCTGAAATATGTATTTCTTGTGGGTATGAATAGAACTGTCTATGTTTGCCTTGGAGACAGGGGGAAGGAGGCCAAACGGTTTAATCTCAGCAGGTATTGCTTTTCAGTACAGAGACATCGAGCAATTTAAAGACCTCCTGCCAGGCCGTTTCAGCAGTCGCACAGCCCCGCTCTCTCTGAGCGGCTCAGCACTGGCCCATGGAAAGGTCACCTCCACTCTCCAGCCCATGGACAGGTAGATGCTCGCACACCTCTTGCCCTACCACAGATGTTGTCAGTAAGAAATGCTGAACAAGTTCAAGGTAGCAAATCAGCCATCTCCATGAGCTTTATCCAGCCTTCGCCCCGCTCTCCCCAGCTGGGCTGCCATCACCGGGCTGTGCCAGACCATCTGGTGTGTCCTCACTTCTCTGAACTCCAGGGCTTTGGACGGGAGGGTAGGCAAGTGGGATTTGTTCTGGTAGGCTGTAAAATGCTGGAGCTGGAGAGCAAATAGCTGTTACCACTGGATCTCTAGGAGTCCCATAAGGACGTGTGGGAGCCAAGATCTGCAGATTTATGTCTTCATAAAGCCACAAAACAAACACAAAAAAGAGCTGGGTTTTCACTCTTGACAGAAGTTGATATGGACATGATAAAAAAGATGAAGTGCTCCTATTTTTTTAAAAAATCAAATTAAAAGAGAATTATTTCCAGGCTTGGAAATCCAGTGATGCTACTGCCATCCTGGTTTCATCCTCCGAATGACCTCGCTCACTGCCATCCCGGGCCTGTGCTTGAGCACATTTCTCTTCATGGCTCCAGTCTTGCCCCACAAGCGTGAGCCAGCACCCCTGGCCCCAGGAAGCACTCGAGCAGTCTGCAGGCAGTGCCACGAAGTCGCACAGTGCCTCATCTGCTTCGAAGGCAGGAGGGACCCATCTGTCACAGTGTGATGAGCGGGTCTGGAGGAGCAGCGCCAGGTCCCAGAGGTGATGAGTGAGCATGGCCGATCGCTCAAAGAGGTGAAGGCAGAAGGTCTCCAGGTGTGAGGGTGGGGGAGCAGGTGCCCTGCAAATGTTTTCCTTGTATTTGCTGAGAAACTGTGATGAGCTGATCTGAGAAGAGCTGCTCGCTGGCAGGTTAGGCATGGCAGTAATTCTGCTATGCTGTGTCCCTGCAGAAGGTGCATGGTTGGATGAGTTCACCCTCACCCTGGATCACATTACCTTCTCCCCTGTCTCTGAGCAGCCCATCCATGTGCAGAAATTCGGTGCCCAACAGTGATGGAGAGCAGAGGCAGCTGATGAATGATGTTAAGCACGCGGGGAGGTGGGAGATGTTTCCTGGATAATCTGTTCCTCCTGAGTGAGGCTAGACTTGCTCCAGCATCTCCTCTCTCGTGCTCTGGGCCAGTCCGTTACCCAACCTTGTTGCTGTTCATCTCTGTTGAGAAGCCAGGTGGTCTGAGGAACACCCCCATCCTCCCTGGGCATGTTGCCTCAAGTACCACCCACTGGTTCCCTCATGCTCTGAGGATGAAAATATGGTTTTAATAATGTGTCCATAAATCATTCTGTCCATAGCAGCGGTGCTGGGAACAGGCCCAAACTTCCCAGTGCAGGAAAGCCTACACAGTCAACCCCAGTGCTGGTGCTGCAAATGGTGGCCCCTGTCAGCCCAGGGCATGAAGGTGGCCACCAACGAGACGCAAAGGCAGTGGCCACTGCCGGGTGCAACCCACCCTCCAGGAAAGCAGGGGTGGGATTCAGGGCCCTAAACAGAGCTGCCTGGTGCTGTGTGAGATGCTCTGGGGTCTCAGAGCAAACCATGGGCCTGCCAGGATCCATAGGAGACCTGAGCCTGCTGGAGGAGCAGCTGGAGGCCAGGTCTGGTCCTGCCTAAATGGCACCAGGCACCTAAAATGTGCCCAAGGTCTTGACATGGACCTGGGCCTTGGCCGTGGCATCAGTTATAAACACCACACAAGGATCACCCTGCAGTGAATCTACCTGTGCATCCTCAGCCATCACCTGCCCCGTGCTCACAGGCGTCTGGGAAGGGTCAGCGCTGTTATAATCCCTCTACACAGAGTACACAGAGAAGAAGGAACCCAGGTATGCTCCTGGGGGTCTGGGCTGTCTGCGGGCTGCCAGAGTGCTGCACCGACAGCGTCTGCAGCTTGGACGCATCTTCTCTCCGTTTGCAAGACACTGGGACAATGCTGCTTTCTCAGCAGCAGCAAGAGCCATAGCAGAGATGCTGGTTAGCGGAGACGCCACGTGTTACCTGTGGTGGCAGTAGAAACACTTACACAGAAGGCTGCCTAAAAAGAAATGTCATGTCAAAACAACTGCATCAACATGCATCTTTTATAGCCCTCCCTAGATTTTTGTCACGGATTTCCCCCAACGGAGTCATGCTGGCCTCTGACAGATACAGGATACGTCTCATGACAGATTGCTTGTTTTAAAGGTATCCTGTTCTCCAGCTCTAATAAATTGGGAAGCTCATTTGCAGCCTTGAAAGCCGTTAGCCAGCAATTCTCCGGGTCTGCACAGAGTTTGCAGCCTGTCAGCCTCCCCTGTCCCCAAGCATCCATCACTCTCACACTTCCCTCCTGCACTGACGCTGAAATAACAAGCGAGATCCTGCCCCGGTGCAAAGCACGTACCCTTGGCTGTACTGCAGGACAGTTCCCCAGCAAATAAACTGGCTGGGATAACTTTCTGCCTGATCTCACGATGGATAATTTCAGATTTTGAGCATGGGTTGGGCTCAGGGCAAGGGCTTCTATGAAGAACAACACCCCATCACTGCTGCCCAGACATTCCCATTCAGTCTGTTCTTGCCATCACCTCCTTGCACACAGCAGCGATGGGATATTCTAGCAAGAAAAGTTAAAAAAAAAAAAATCACAGAAAAGACATATACCTGTGCCACAGTTTTGGAGCACAAGGCCTGTTTGCTGCCCATACAGACATCTAAAAGGAAGAAATCATTAAATCATTCCCAGATCGAAGGGTTTGACTCGTCCCAGCCTGTTTCTTTGTCTCTGGCGTGCAGAGGAGTGACGGGAAAAGCAGCTGGCCCGGCGCAGGGTCTTCGCAGTGAGACTTCGCCTGATATCAAGGCAACAAGAGGAGTTTTCACCTGACGCTGGAAACAATGCCATCCATAGAAGCCTACATTGTTACCTTGACATTTGGAAGCAATTACCTGCATGTTATGTAAAACTTTTATTAAACGACTGGAGAAATTCGGTAATGTGTTAATCATCGGTTGAATGACATCTGCTTAATACCAAAGATTTTTGAACTGCAGGAGAAGGGTTCAGCAGTTCAGAATGATTACCAAAACATATTGCTCCTTTTTTCGTTCTCCTACGTGTTAATTTTTCAGATTTATTATCTTAGGCTCCTGCGTCTAGTATTTTCACTACATGTCAACATCTGTTATATCTCTGCATTTCGCAGCTCTTTAGTCTTTGCCCCATGAAGCCTCAGGCACTCAGATGAGAGACGCAGCCAGCTCTAACCCAGGGCTTATGCAATTTTCCAAACTAATCCAAAGGACAATTACCAGGGAAATCTGGCTTGCGGAGGCATTTCTGGCATCAAAAAAAGGATCGGTAGATGGACTCAAACCCAAAGAAACCAGGCAGGTTTAGAGACAAACTTGGCTGTCGGGACAAGACTTGGAAAGTCTGGGGTGCTGCGAGTCTGCTGCTCTTTGAGAAACATGTGGTGGGTGAAAATGTGTCATGGAAAGATGCTCGGTTCCTTCCCACTCCTGGAGTCACTCTGTTCATACAGCAAGCCGTAAAATCCTCTGGGGATGCTCATCCTTTTGAAATGCAGAGCAAGGAAAGGAGGGATGTTCTGCACGAGCCTTTGCAGCTGAGGGGGTCTGGTTGTGGAGACGTCCATGGAGATCTGGGACCTGGCTGGGACCTCGGGCTGGGCAGAGGCGGGGGACTGGGCCCTGCACAGAATAAACTCAAGAGTCTGTTAGGGCTGGGATTCATCCTGCTTTTTCTTTTTTTTGGGGGAAGGGTGAGGCTTACAAATACAGTGTTTCTCTGTTGGTAAAATCTTTGCCCTCACGCCCCCACTCCTGCCTCTCCTGTGACTGTGTTTGCTGGCAGACACATGAGAAAATCCCCGCTGAAGCCAAGGTCTGTGGCGATGATGCAGGCAGGAGCCTCACTGCCTGCTGCCCTGCAAAAGCAGCTCTTACCCCACGGGAAACCATCTGCCAGCTCCTCCACGGGGCACCCCTGCTGGGGGCCAGTGGGGGTCCCGTCAGCTCCTGCAGACAATGTGCTGAGGTTGTTGTAGGACGTTCAACGTGGCCGTTCCTGCAGAGAAGGTGCTGAGGCTGCTGGAGGACATTCAGTGCAGACACTTCTGCACTCTACCGGCGATGGAGGCTCCCATTTGGGTACTCTCTTTGCTGGGTGAAAGCTGCTGGCCCCAAGTGGCAACGCATTGCCCCCCACCCCAGGGACCAGCACCTGGCGCTGCCGGATGGGTGCAGAAACAGGCAGCTGCCCAACGGCCCACAAAACTCTCCTAAAGCCACGAGGAGAAATACAGAGCATGCTGCCGGGCTTGTATTGGGCTTAAATAGTGCACTGGCCCTGCACGATGAATTTCAGCCTGTATATATTAAATATCTGGTGAATGTGGACAGCTGAGCCCGAGCGGTTGCTGCAGGATGGGTTCGGGAGCAGTGGGAAGCAAAGCTGAGCCACCCCTCCTGGGGCATCAGTCAATGGAGCTGTGATGGAGAAAGTTCACCCTAACATGACTTACTAGAAAATCTTTTTGCAGGTAATTTCCATGCACTGCCCTGGATCATGTTCCAGAAGAAACTCACATTATATACGAGCCAAATGCTTTCTACTCCCAGCCGTCAAGCCAGGTTTCTAATTTATGCTTTTTTTATTATTTTGTTCCCTCACCCGTGATCTGCCCCCCC